TAGCAACTGTAAGCAATTGATAATCCACTGAGCATTTCCGGTGTGCCTGGCCCTGTCCTAAGGCCGTGAATAAGCCAGGCAAGAAACCTGTCATCCTGGAGCCTGACAGTCAACATACAAACAAGAGGACGGGCAGATGGCTTAATGGTGACGTTGTTGGACTCCCATGTAGTCGACCGTAGTTCAAGTCCCGGACCCGGCGACTTAAACTCACGCTGGGCATGTGTGCGTGCGTGCCCAAGATCCCGAGAGGAGAATGGAGGAGAAGGGATTGCGGTGTGGCCATCCCCCCTGGGGGGTGATTTCTCGCTTTCTGTCTCTGTCTGTCTCTGTCTTTCTGACGAGCACACGCACCCTATAGCAAAAACCTCTCCAAAAAAAAACCCCCAAAATCTCTAAAAAATAAACATGTAAACAAGTTATGAAGGGACTTCAAAAAGTTCATGAAAACAAGAAGCAAGGATAGTCTATGGGCAAAGGAAGCATGGCAGGAGGCAAGATGGGAGGGCAAGGGAAGCCGGACCACACCAGACCTCCCTGATCACCGTGGGAACTTCAGATGCTTTCCTATTCCAGGTGTCATAGGAAACAGGAAGTGGCATGATTAGGTTTTAAAGGTCTCTCCAGGTGCCTGACTGAAAACGGGCTGAGGGGTCCACTCCTGTAGCCCAGGGGAGAAATGATGGTGGCTTGGATGGGCGACGCCAGTAGAGATGGGAGAAGGGAAGATTGGGGTGGACTGTGGCCCTTTTCTGTACCCCATGGCCATGAGCTTGTCCCCCCAGAGTGGCTGTAAGGAACGCAGAGAGGAGCCGACATGTGTGTTTGTGTGTGTATGACTGGAGGGTGCCTCAGAGAGAGAGAGAGAAAGGGAGAAGTGAAAACACCTGCCGTGGGAATGTCAGGCATGTACATGTACACACGCCTGGTGTGTTTCTCAAACTGCCGGGTCTGGGACTCGAACTGTATGGTTGACCATGTGGGATCCTACTACCTTAATCACCAGACCATGGAGCCACCTAGCTCCCCCAGGCACTTCCATAGCTTTTGCATTCACAATGAGGACACTCAGTTCCCACAGACTTCAAGTTTAGCTATTCTCTGTGGTTGAGGATAATGAAACCTCCCTATTTAAAAATATGTCTAGTTTTCTATGTAACACTTGGACGTGGTCCAGCTTTAAAAGATACGTAAGTTTTAATCATGAAAACTCTTCCTTCGTGGATTCCCTTCCTGAACAGCTACCATTGCTACCAAGTTCTTGTGAAGTCTTCCAGAAGATCAGCAAAAAAAAAAAAAGGTTTTGTTTATACAATTGCTACATACATTAATCTATCTAACACTGCATTTTCATTGTAATGTTCTAACACCACCTTAATATCAAATACATTTGACCTTCTTGCCAATGAAAAGGTTCGTGTTTAGATTTCAGCAAAAAAATAAAAACAGGTGGGGGGTGGGGTGGGGGGAGAACTGACATGTTTTTTCAGGTCAGTACAAACGCAGTAGACCTGACCCTGAAATCTATGTCCGGCTCATAAAGGAATGCACCTCCCTGAAGAGAGAGGGCGAGTTCTCCACCTGCTTCACGGAGCTGCAGCGAGACTTCCTGAGACAGCGTCCAACCAAACTGAAGAGCCTCATCCGCCTTGTCAAGTACTGGTACCAAAAGGTATAGCCCTCCCACCCAGCCACCTCATGGGACAGGAAGCAGGGGAAGGGAGGGACAGAAGGAGGGAGTGAAAGAAAGGAAATGGAGGGAAGAGGAGGAAGAGATGGGGGAGGAGAGAAATGAGGCAGCAGGAGAAGAAGGGGGAGAGGGAAAGGAGGGAAGTACGTGAAGGAAGGGATTTTTGGGTTTTGTTCACTGTCACTGAACTTCAAAGAGTGGCTGGAACATCCTAGGTGCTTGCTAAATCATTGTTGAACAATGCTCTGCCTGTGTGCACACACAGAGCCAACAACCCTCTTCAGCAGGCAGACAGGGCAAAATGCAGGCTTCAAACAAACGTGGATTTGGATAACCCTTCTTCCCATTTCCTGACTGCCTTAACACAAACAAAACCTCTCTGTTCTGTGTTCTCATTCCCAAAGAGTCAGCCAGCCTGACTGCAGTGGTGCATGCAGTAAGGCACAGCTGTGTGATACTGAAGCCACGTGGCAGGCCTGGGTTTGGTTCCCAGGCCAACCTGAACTCGCTGAGTGCAGTTCATGCACCTGTCATCCTAGCTAATTGGAAGGCTGGACCAAGTTCATGACATAGCAACACTCTGTTGGAAATACCTCCCTCCCTGACTCTCTCTCATAAAAAATAAAATGACATTAAAATATAAATAAATAAAGTAACATGGGAGCCATGGGTGGTATGGTGGTTAAGGTGCTGGATTCCCACATGCCAACTGTGGTTTGAATTCCCAGACCTAGGAGCTTGCTTTCTCAATTTCTCTCGCTCTCTCAATCTGGTCAGATTAAAAAATAAAAATAAATTAAATTAAATTATTAATTAAAAAAAGAAAAAGAAAAAGCGGAGCATGCCAAAACCATAGTAAAGCACATCACATGGGGCCTAGTATACAGCCAGGCCTATGAAATGCAGCTTCTTTTAGCCAGTTTGAGAATGTACATAATGAAAACTAACCCATTGTGTGCTGAGCTTAACTTACTCCTCTTTCTTTGGTGTGATATGCATTTCTATTCTCTTTTAAATGCCCCATAGCTTATTCAGTCTTCACGGTTCTTTCCGTGAGCTAGGTATGGGTAAGTATTATTATTAAACCCACCACACAGAAAGAAAAACTAAGGGCCAGGTAGCTCACTCAGCTAACAAGTAACAGAACTAAAACTTAATTTGAGTCTAACTGACTCGAGAATCTGCCTGATATACAGAAGTCTTTAAAACGCTGATGAAAGATGCATACCATGGGGACCAGCAGTTGGCGTAATGGCTATGTCGCTGGACTCCCACGAAGTCAACTGTGGTTCGCGTCCCGGACCCGGTAGCTTAAACTCACGCTAGGTGCATGTGCATGCGTGCCCAAGATCCCGAGAGGAGAATGGAGGAGAAAGGATTGCGGCATGGCCATCCCTCCTGGGGGGTGATTTCTCACTTTCTGTCTTTCTGTCTGTCTCTGTCTTTCTGGTGAGCGCACATGGCCTGTAGCAAAAACCTCTCGGAAAAAAAAATGCATACTATGAAAAAAAGGAAACCTCATATTTCAGGTTTTTGGGCACCAAAATAAACTCACACGGTAATTCTATTTTTCCACAAGTTTTTTGAAGTGCCCTCATGTAACCATTTGATATTCATTTGCTAGATAGATAAAAATAATTATCCTAATTTAAAAGTAACACCTCTAGAGGATCACTTCTTTTCTAAACTTCTCAGTGTTTGTTGTTTCAGGAATTTTAATCATGAAGCCTGGATATCATAGAACTTACAAAAGTGGTTTTTGATAAGAGCAGAACTGCCTTTAAGGACAGACTGAAAATTACTGAGGGCACTTTTGGTAACTATGGTGATGGGGGGGAACAATAGTGCTACTCATATTTATTAGAAAGAAACCAGAAATACTGGTTGTTTCACTATGACCGAGACAGTCCTGTATGACCAAGAATTACTATTTTTCTTTCTTTCTTGATCTCCTCTATCAATATAATGCAAATATCTTACACAACTTTAACCCCATTAACTGCCATCAAACGGCCTCTAATTTACATGCTCATTTTGTTATGTATTTCAAATTTCTCTGTGTTTTCAAGTGCCTCTAAGTATTATTATTATTGTTTTTAAACAACCCATATTTGTTTCATCTACCCTCATATTTATCACTTTCTTCACTGCTAATTCTTTTCTACCCCTCTAACCTTCTATCTGGGGTCATTTTCTTGAAGTATGCCCTTTGGGGTTTCTTTTGGTGACAGTCCATTGGTAGTGAATGCTCTCAATTTTTGTCTGTTAAAGGGTATTTTTGCTGGGTTGGTGGTCATTTCAATATGTTAAATATATCCTTCCATTTTCCAGTGTCTAGAAAAAAATTAGCTGTCAGTCTAACTGTGTCTCCTTTGTAAGTAATATGTCATATTTTCCTGGCTGTCTTTAAGATGTTTCTCTGTGCTTTTGATTAGTCTTAGGTTGTTTTTTTTTTTTCTTTTTTTAAGTTTTCTAAAAAAATCTTATCTCTCCCTCTCTCTCTCCTTGCCTCCCGAAACTCCAATTAAATGTATGTTAAACCCTTTAACCCTCTCTTCTGTATTTACATTTTTTGGTCTGTCTTTTCTTGCTTTATTCTGAACAGTTTCCTCTAATGTGCTCACAATTAACTAAATGTCTCTTTATCTGTGTCTAACTTGCTGTTGAGTTACTAATTGCAGTTATTGTCATTTTTAACCTAGGATTTCTGTTTCATTTTTTTCAAATCTGTCATGCTATTTTTTTTATGGCTTCTAGTTATCTATTTCTTTTATTTATTTATTTATTTTTAACTGAGAAACCACCTCCCGGAGGAATGCCAGGCCAGGCTGCAATCCCTTCTCCATTCTCCTCTCAGGATTTTTTTTTTTTTTTTTGGCACACACACACATGCACTTGGCATGACCCTCAAACCACCAAGTTCAGGATTTGAACCATGGTCAACCATGTCCAGCATTTTCACCACCATGCCATCTGCTGGCCCCTAATTCTCTATTTTATTTTTTGAACATAATATTCATAGTTCATCTAAAGTCTGTGTTCCATCCCTGCATATTTAAAGATTTGTAGATTCACTATTTCTCTTTTTTTCTGGCTATTACTCTTGGTGTCTTGGTCCCTTGTGTGCTTGGTTATCTATGTACTGGTCATTGTATTTGAAAATTGTGAAACAGTTTGAGGCATTGGGTGATCTATATTCCTTCAGGGAGAAATTTCTTGCTTATGTAAGGCCTTTAGGAATTCTTCAAGCCTTTTCTTTGGCTTTCAGGGTCCTTATAAGGTGAATTCTATTATTACTACTCACTTCACAGATGAAAATACGGAACTCTGAGAGTATAAGCCATCAGCTCAGAACCAGACAATGAGTCAGAATTAGTAAGCCACATCAGGAAGAACTCAGAGCTCAAGCTCTTAATCAGGAGTCAAACATTTTCACTCAAGAGCTAGGTAGTAAATACTGGGTTGTTAGAAAAGTCATGATGTCTTTTTCTGTTTTTCTACGCAAAATATGCATCATGACTTTTCCTACAACCCAGTACTTTAGGCCGTGAGGGCCACGCAATCTCTGTCACAACTATTCAACTCTGCATTGATGACATGAAAGGAACCCTAAACTAGACCTAGAAAAATGGGCATGGCTTTGTTACAAGAAAACTCGATTTACGGAAACAGGTGGCAGGCTAGATTTGGCCCAAAAGAAATGTCCTTTACACAAAACGTTGGACAAACCTATTTTCTAATGTTTTTTCCTGCCCGCAGTGTAAGGAGAAGCTTGGGAAGCCACTGCCACCACAGTACGCCATGGAGCTCCTGACAGTCCACGCCTGGGAGTACGGAAGCATGGAAACAGAGTTCAGTACTGCCCAGGGGTTTCAGACTGTCTTGAAATTAGTCATAAACTACCAGCAACTTTGCATCTTCTGGACAGTGTATTATGACTTTAAAGATCCCTATATTGGCTATTACCTGACCCAGCAGCTTAGGAAGCCCAGGTACCGTATCTCCATGTGGGTTAGCTCCCAGCATAAAGGAACCCGGGACTGGAGGGTTGAAACGTGCTTTGGAAATGGGTGGGGGGTGAGGGAGGAGTCTACACTGCCACTTGATTGAAATAACCACCTCCAGGGGCCAGCAGGTGGCATAATGGTTAACGTACTGGAGTCCCACATGGCCAACTGAGATTCTAGTCCCAGTGGTTTGAAAATCACACCAGGTGCATGTGTGTGCATGCCCAAAACCCTGAGAAGAGAATGGAGGAGAAGGGATGGCGACATGACCATCTGAGGGCCTGAGAAGTAAGGAGGGTTATCCAAACCCTAACAAGCAAATGAGTAAAATGGATGGGATTTGAATGGAAATAGCAGCAGCAGCAGCCGTAACAGTAATGGCTTTTGGGAACTGAAAACTTCGGGACCAGCAAATGGCATAATAGTTACATCACTGGACTCCCACATAGTCAACCGTAGTTTGAGTCCTGGACCCAGTGACTTAAAACTCACACTGGGCACCTGTGCATGTATACCCAAAATCCCAAGAGGAGAATGGAGGAGAAGGGATTATGGCATGGTCATTCCCCCCAGGGGGTGATTTCTTGCTGTCTGTCTTTCTCTCTGTGTCTCTGGTGAGCACATGCGCCCTATAGCAAATAAATAAATAAATAAATAAATAAATAGGAATTGAAAACTTCCAGTCAGACTAACACATCATAGTAAGAATTAGGATCACTATGACAACTTATATTGGTCCCTTGTTAGTGTGCTAGTCACTGCGCTAAACATGGCGCACGCCCTGGCTCCCACCACCCTCATACTGCAGCCTGTCTTTCCATTCCACAGATGAGGAGACCAAGGCTCATGGAGGTCAAGGGACATACCCAAAGGCACACCACTCCTAAAGGGCAGAGGTGCAATTAGAACCCAGGTCTGTCAAGCCCAAAGGCATGGCTCTTTCTTCTCACGCTCACTGCTCGCTGTGGCAGGGTATTCAGGATGCACCACAGGGACTGGTGCCCGCTGGGCTCTCTTCATGCCCTGAGTCCCAGCCTGCTCCAGGCTGGTGTTTTGCTTGGCCAGGAGCACCCAGCCTTCCTGGACAGAGTCCCCGCTCCTCACTTGCCCCTCCCTAAATGTTTCTCTTCAGGCCTGTGATCCTGGACCCAGCGGACCCTACGGGAAACGTAGCGGGTGGAGACCTAGAGCGCTGGCGGCGGCTGGCACGGGAGGCTGAAGACTGGCTGGGCGCCTCATGCTTTAGGAACTGGGATGGATCTCGGGTCAACTTCTGGGATGTACCGGTGAGAACTGCTTTCCCCTATTCCCTACTGCCTCTCCCCCTTGTACACACCTTGAGACAAGTAGCTGGGGAGATTCTCTACAGAAGAGATTTTTTAAATTTTCCCCAAAGAAATGATCTCTTGTGAAAGGTCACCCATAGACATAATAACATCACAGGCTGTGCTCATTTTATTCCCAGCGAGGTCCTAGAACTTGCGTGTTCCTTGTCTAGAGTTCATTCCACTAAGAATAACAGTAAACTGCCACCACCCCCGCTTGGGGAGAACAGATCTTGGGGCCCAGGTTCTGTTCTGAGATCTCTTACATACATTATCTCATTAAATCCTCCCAACGGCCCTGTAAGGTAGGTGATCTATTGTCCCCACCACACAGATGAGAGAAAAAAAAAAACAGAGGCTCAGAGAAATGAAGTCCCTTGCCCAAGGACACACGACTAAGGAGTGACAGAGCCTGGGAGTTAACCCCAGTGGGCTGCAAAGCCAGTGTGTGTTCACCGTGCTAAGCAGCCTGCCTTGTGTCCTCTCCTCTTAGCCTGACACAGAGGGGGCACAGAGCCACCAAGCCCCTTGGGCTGGGCCACACAGCTAAGGGCAGAGAGACCCACCCTCGGCTCTTTCTACCCCCCAGAAAGGGGTCTTTCTTAAGCCAGGGGATCAATGAACCTACAGGAAGCAGACTTGGAATTGGAGTTTGGGGTGCAGGATGTTTGGGGAAGGGGTACCACCAGAACCAACACCTGGGGAAAGGAGGGGAAGGATGCAGGAGAAGGCGTAGATGCAGAGGAGGTGACAAACTCAGCCAACGCCATGGACAGACCTGGAGGAGGACGGCCTTTCAAGCTGTCCCACAGCAGACAGAAGTGGCTAGGCCTCCCTAGCCACGTGTGAATCAGTCGCTGAAAATGGGCCATGCAGGAAGGGGTGTGGCCTTGAGGGAAAGGTTCTCTCTGCAGCTGCAAAGGGGCCGACAGCTGATGTCTGTTTCCCGGCCGCATTCTCCAGGAAGAACTTCCTAGACCTTCCCCAAAGGGGTCCAGGTGACATGACACAGTGCCACCATAAATGCCCACTGAGATGCAGTTCCAAGGTGGAAGGACCAGTTACCCAGTGTCATTGTATATTTGGCCCTTTCAAACGGAAAAAGGGAGGACCACGGGCCCTGTCGTCTCAAGACTTAGCAGCACCCTGATTTTCACACTCCAGGAAAAATCCACTTCACATCCGGATGACAACTGGGCCTGCGCCATCCTCTGAACGCCAGTGCATCTTACAAGAAAGGGCTCCAGGGTCACCTAGACCTGCCCTGATCCAGAGGGCCCCCAAGGTCCTCAGCGAACTGGGCCCTCATCTAGGCCCAGAACCCAGGTCTGACCCCGCCCCTTCCCCTCCCACCTGCTGTTCTGTGCATGTTTTCTCACCTATCCCAGATAGCATCTCCCCCTGCAGTCCCATCTCCAGACTGCGTTCTCTGAGAGATGAGAGATTTAGACAAAAAAGTGCAATCTCAGCCTTGTACCTGGTTACAATTCAATGTAATATCAGTAACAATAAAAATGACAGCAGATACCATGCGTTGGGAGTTTATTATATCGAGCCACAGAATCAAGGTGTATAGATACATATGTGTGTGTGTGTGTGTGTGTGTGTGTGTTCATGTTTCTTTCTTTTTTTTTTTTTTTTTGTAGAGGTTTTTGCTATAGGGCACGTGCACTCACCAGACAGACAGAGAGAGACAGAGAGATAGAAAGCGAGAAATCACCCCCCAGGGAGGATGGCCACGCCCAATCCCTTCTCCTCCATTCTCCTCTTGGGATCTTGGGCACGCACGCACACGCGCCCGGCATGAGTTTAAGCCACCGGGTCCAGGACTCGAACTGCGGTCGACTACGTGGGAGTCCAGCGACATAGCCATTACGCTAACTGCTAGTCCCTGTCCATGTTTCTTGATTGACCTACAAATGTTTATTGAGCACCTACTATGTGCCAAGCACTGTCCTAGGCCTGCAAACACAGCAAGGAACAATGTCAACCAAAATCCCTATCATCCCAGATTCAATATTAGTGTGGATTTTAGTATCAAATGGTTCGCATAGTTCTGATTTTCCTAGTAAGGATAATCCTGAGACCAGCATCCATGACTTGTCCTTTACCCACAACTAATGGGGCAAAGGACAAGCCAATTTCTAAGAAAATTGCAGAACATCTAATACAGTAGCCACTCGTCCCATGTGACTGTGGAGTACTTGACACGAATCGAATCTAAACTGAGATGTTCTGCGATGTCAAACAATATCCTCCTGGGCTTCAAAGACTTTGAACCCCCCCAAAAAAAAGAAAAAATAAAAAGAATGTTAAATTCTTTAATAACTGATCTTTTTAAATAAAAATTGTTTAAAGTTTATTTATTTTTAGTTTATTTAATTTTGTTTATTTATTATTATTCTTCAATTTGACCAGAGAGAGAGGGAGAGTGAGGCACCAGGTCTGGTACTCAAACCACAGTTGGTCATGTGGGAGTCCAGCAGCTTAAACCACCACGCCACCTGCTTGCCCCAACAACTGATCATTTTTTTAAATTATGTGTTGAGTGGCTGGTAGGTAGCATGACAGGGGGCTGGCCAACCACAGTTTGAGTCCCAGGCCTGGTGGTTTCCTTTCTTGATTCTCCTCTCTGTCTGTCTCTCTGTCTTTCTCTCTCTCATCAAATTAAAAAAATAATAATAGCAAATTGAATTAAATAAATCATCTTTTTAAAAAAAATACATGTTGAAATGACAATTTTTGATGTATCGAGTTAAATCAAAATGAACTTTGTCTGTTATCCATTTATCTGTCAAGGTATTGCTGGTGCAATACCCACGTCTCAGCCTTCCAAGTAGCTAGAATCACAGGCTTTTTAGGTTGCTCTGGGAATTGAACCCAGAGCTTCCCATGTGGCCTCAGCCTCTGGGGTAGCAATGTCTACTAGTGCATGCCACTGGGCCTGGGTGTCTTTTCACTTTTTTAACGTGGCCACTAGCAAATGTGAAAATGACACATGTGCTTTGTATTTTATTTCTATTAGACAGCTCTACCCTAGGAGGTGAATCACTGGGTGGAAGGACAGGCAGGGTGGCTCCAGAGCCTAGCAGCTAAGCACTGTGCAGGAGGGGGGACTGGGGCCCACACAACTGCCTGCAGCGTAAGTCCTAGCCCCAGTGGCTTAGAAATCATGCTGGGCGTGTGTGCACATGCTAGGATCCTAGAGGAATGGGGACGTGGAAGGAAAGGAGGTTGCAGTATAATCAGGCCCTGTTTCTGTCTGTCTCTCGAATGTGCACAGGCTCCTGACGGCATAAAAGAGAAGCTATACCAGTTTATATCGCCACGCCATCACACCATCTTTGGTAACTTTTGTAAGATGTCAAAACAGAAAAGTCCTATAAATACCAGAAAAGAACCAAGCATGCTCTTGTCACCTGAGTCACTGGTCACCCTTGGCTGGTGAGCAGTCTTGGGCTTGTCCATGTTTACTTTTTCTCTTTTTTTTTTTTTTAAGAGAGGTTTTTGTTATAGGGCACATGCGCTCGCCAGAGAGAGAGAGAGACAGAAAGCGAGAAATCACCCCCCAGAGGGGATGGCCACGCTGTAATCCCTTCTCCTCCATTCTCCTCTTGGGATTTTGGGCACACATGCACATGTGCCTGGCGTGAGTTTAAGCTACCGGGTCCAGGACTCGAACTACAGTCGACTACATGGGAGTCCAGCGACATAGCCATTACGCCAGCTGCTGGTCCCGCATGTTTCTATCTCTCCATCTGATCCCCAGCACCGCTGTGAGCTGAGTTTCCCTATTATTCTCATAATAAGTTGAGGACTTGAGTTTCTGAGGGCTGAGAGCAGGCACCCAGGGCCGTCTGGCGAGAAGGAGTCAGAGTCTGGACTTGAATCCCAACCCTTCTCACCCTGAAGTTGTCTCCATCAGTTTTTGTGGTGCTGACAAACACCTGAGGCTGGGTGATTGATAAAGAAAATAGCGATTGAGACCAGCAGGTGGCATCGTGGTCAAGGCACTGCACTCCCACGTGGGTGAATGCAGTTCAAGTTCCGGCTTAACACTCATGCTGGGTGCATGTGTGTGTGTCCCAAATAGCCAGAATTACAGGCCACCATTTTTTGGCTATTCTGAAGGCTTGGTCATCAACTGGATAACCTGGGAGGGAGGAAGCGTGTGTGTGTCTGTGTGTGTATGTGTGTGTGAGAGAGAGAGAGACAGACAGACAGAGACAGAGACAGAGAGCCACCCAAATGAATGTGGGTGTCAACAAGTGTGCTTGTGATGTCAATGTGGGCCAACCTTAAGAGGGCCTAAGATTTGGGACCAGCAGTCGGTGTAATGGCTATGTCGCTGGACTCCCATGTAGTCAATTGCAGTTCGAGTCCTGGACCCGGTAGCTTAAACTCACGCTGGGCTCATGTGTGTGCATGCCCAAGATCCTGAGAGGAGAATGGAGGAGAAGGGATTGCAGCGTGGCCATCCCCCATGGGGGGTGATTTCTCACTTTTTGTCTCTCTGTCTCTCTCTGTCTCTCTGATGAGCGCACATGCCCTATAGCAAAAACCTCTCCCAAAAAAAAGGGAAAAAAAAAAAGGGCCTAAAATTTGAATGAACCTGGTTTGCTGGGGCAGTTGATGTCAACATGCTCCTTCTGCCTCGGAATCCTGAGAAGAGAATGGAAAGGGCATTGTGGCGTGGCCATCCTCCCAGGGAGTGATTTCTTGCTTCCTGTCTCTGTCTCTCTCTGTCTCTCCAGCGAGCACACGTGCCCTATAGCAAAAATCTCTTCAAAACAAAAATGAAAATTGAAGCTCCCAAGCTGTCCATGTCTGAGTCTCCAGAGATCAAGTCCCATGTGGGGGACTTGGTCTTCCTCCTTTCTGAGGAAAAGAGCCAAGAAGAGTGAATATTTAGCCAAGAGAAGAGAGGGTCAAGTTTCAGGAGGAAACCAGGGCACAACTGGAAGCTGTCCAGGAGTAAATATTTGGCATGAAGTTGAAGGTCCAGGGTTGATGGGCGGACCCCACACACACTCAGGGGCATCCTCTCAGCTCAAAGGAGAAGAATGCTGATGCCCTGCTGTCTTTGATACCTCCTCACACAAAGCCCTCCTAGCAAAAGCTTTGCCCCTGTTTATGAGGTGCCAGGGCCTCTCCCCAGCCATTGACTGGTCAGTAATGCCCCTCCAAACCTTCCTTCATGGGGGTCACAGACCAGGGCTCTGGAGTCGATCTGGTGTTTTACTCTTCCAGGGGTACCTAGGCTTCCGGAACAGAGCCCTCGCCCCTCGCCTGTCCTTTGCTAAGTGTTCCTCTCTAGGCTTATGATTTCGAATCCCGCTGACCCTATAGGAAATGTGGGCAGTAGAGACCCAGAGGGCTGACAGCAGCTGGCACAGGAGGTGAAGCCTGGCTCGATTTCCTGTGCTTTAGGAAATGGGATGGGTCTTTGGATGGCTCCTGGGATGTGCTGGTGAGACCATCTGATTTCCCGCCATTCACCCCCCGCCCCTCCACATAGCTCTGCAACTACTCTTGACTCAAACTCAAGTCCACCTGACTCCAAAACTCTTGCCCTTTTTGTTGTTTGTTATTGTTGTTATTTGTTATAGGCCATGCACACTCACCAGACAGAGACAGACAGGAATGAAAGCATCCCATAGTGTTTTGCCCATGCTACAACCTTTTCCTCATTCTCCTCAGGATTTGGGCATGCGCACACACACGCCCAGCATGTTTTCCAAGTTGCCGGGTCCAGGACTCGAACTATGCAGGTCAGCCACATGGGATCCAGCCACCTTAACCACCACGCCACCAGCTGACCCTTCCTTGACCCTATTTAACATAGACCCCTTCCCTGGTTACAGTGACGTCAGTTCTCCTAGGTTCAGGGGAGGATTGAGGTCCCCACCGATCTGTACTTCACCTCTATGTGACCCTCAGGAGCCTGATTCTGGCCTTTTACAGAGTCAGAGCAAAATCAGGGTACATTATAACTACCAGACAGGTACATGCCAGCCCATCAAACCGGATTCATTCCAATTTACGCCCTCTTCAGGATGATCTGCACTCTGACATCACACTCGTCAACACACACATTCATTTGTGTTGGTCTCTGTCTCTTTCTTTTTTAAAAAATTAATTTATTTATTTAATGCCATTTGTTAGTATTACTTTTTAATTTGATCAGAGAGAGAGAGAGAGAGAGAAAGGGAAAGTGAGAAAGCAAGCCACCAGGTCTGGGACTCAAACCGTGGTCTACCGTGTGGAATCCAGTGCCTTAACCACCACGCCACCTGCCAGCCCCTTCGCTGTCTCTTTCTAACACACACACACACACATACACACACACACACAGAGACACACACGCTCCCTCCCAGGTTAGCCAGCTGATGACCGACACTTCAGGACAACCAATGAAATGATGACGGTTGGCTCCCAATTCCAGCCTCAGGCCTGGGGTTTTGACTGCATGGTTCCATATTTTCTGCCTTGGCCAATGTCTTTGCCTTAGCATTTCTACACGTACCCACGCACTGGGAACAGGCAGTAGAACTGCCCCCTGCTTGCTCCTCATCTTCTGCTCAGGCAACCTCGAATTGCATCCAGTCTTGTTTCTGGCAGTAGGACAGCTCATCCCACTGATAGTATAACCCTAACCATTACACATTATGACCTCTATTCATTCCAAATCACATGGCAGGCGCATGCTAAGGACCGAACATTCCTTATCTCATGTCGTCCTCACTTAAAGACCTTGTGAGGTGGCCCAGCAGGCTCGGAGGAGAAAGGAGTCCTGACATATTTTTCTATGTTTTTTCCAATGCAAAAAGGCATCATGTCTTTCCTGACGACCCAATAGATAGGGCTTCCTATTCTGGCCCCTGCCACTGACTTTGCTGTGTGACCTGGACACACTTCTAGCCTTCTCTGGGCCTTGGTTTCTTTTCTTTTCTTTTCTTTCTTTTTTTTCTTTTTTTGAGAGGTTTTTGCTACAGGGCACGTGAGCTCTTCAGAAAGGCAGAGAGAGACACAGAGACAGAAAGCAAGAAATCACCCCCCAGGGGGGATGGCCACGCCACAATCCCTTCTCCTCCATTCTCCTCTCGGGATCTTGGACACGCACGCACACGCGCCCAGCGTGAGTTTTAAGCCACCGGGTCCGGGACTTGAACCGTGGTCCACTACATGGGAGTCCAGTGACATAGCCATTACGCTAACTGCTGATCTGTGGGCCTTGATTTCTTGACTAAATATAATAGGTTTGGATCAGACAAGGGCTATGGCATCTTAGTTCCTCCTGGATTCATGGTCCTGACGTCAGGGGCTTGGCCCTCCACCAAGCCACTGTCTAGCTTTGCACTGCTCAGCCTTTTCCACGGTACCCCAAAGGTGAAGGTGAATGAACGCATGCCAACGAGACCGGAACCCTGCACGATCTTGTATTTTACCTTGAAAACATTAAGGTGATTTTTTGCATCTCCTTCATAATAGACCTAAGCTTCAGTTCGTATAAGAATGTGCTCTGTGTCCTCATCTTAATAATGGAGATAGTTAGGGGCCAGCAGATGGTGTAGCAATGACATCACTGGACTCTCAGATGACCAACCATGGTTCAAATCCCAAACCCGGTACCTTGAAGATTACACCAGGTGCATGTGTTTGCATGCCCACGATCTCAGGAGGAGAATGGAGAAGGGATTGGGCATGGCCATTCCCACTGGAGGGGTGATTTCTCACCCCTCCTCCCACTGTCTCTGTCTCTTTCTCTGGTGAGCGCATGCACCCTAAGGCAAACACCTCTAAAAAATAAATAAAATAATGGAGATAGTTATCCATCTTTGGATTTTTTGCAAGCATGAATACATGTAATGATCTTAGAAAGTTTGCCTAGTACAGCTCTCTGTAAGAGTTATGTGAGTATTTGCTAGTATTAATTCTGTTCTTATTTACCCTGGCGCTCTGGGGATAGCGCCATCATTTAGGCAGACCGCCACATCCCCCATGCTCAGTGTATTCACCTTCCGAGTATACATAATCATAATAGTGACTGCCTATTAAACACGGCACTATTCTGAGCACTTGCTCTTTTTTTTTTTTTTGGAGAGGTTTTTGCTATAGGGCCCATGCACTCGCCAGAAAGACAGAGACAGAAAGTGAGAAATCATGCCCCAGGGGGGAACGGCCACGCTGCAATCCTTTCTCCTCCATTCTCCTCTCGTGATCTTGGGCACGCACGCACACGCGCCTGGCGTGAGTTTTAAGCCACCGGGTCTGGGACTCGAACCGTGGTCGACTACATGGGAGTCCAGTGACATAGCCGTTATGCCAACTGCTGGTCCCCTAACTACTTGCTATGCTTAATTTAAAAAAAAAAAATTTTATTTAACTTTTTTTTTTTTTTAATTTTTATTTTACAAGAAAGGGACAGAGTGAGAGAGAGAGGAAGTGAGAAAGCAAGCCACCAGGTCCAGGTCTGGGACTCAAACTGCAGTCGGCCATGTGGGAATCCAGCACTCTAAACCACCACACCACTTGTGGGTCCCTATTTTTATTATTATTTTTATTTTTTAGTTTACTATAGGATGTGTGCATTCACAGAGACAGAGAGAAAAAGTGAGAAAGCATTCCCCCTCACCCAGGGGGAGGTCACACTGCAATCCCTTCTCCTCCATTCTCCTCTCAGGATCATGGCACATTCCCGAAACTGCCAGGCCCAGGATTCAAACCACACAGTCAGCCATGTGGGACCTAGCTGCCCTCACCCCACCACCACCAGCAGACCCCATGCCTCATTTCATTGATTCTTTACGACAAGCCTATGAGACCTGAACCGTTTCATTTTCCATTTTACTAACGAAAAAAATGAGTTATGGAGATATCCAGTAACTGGCCCAGAGCCACCCAAGTGGCAGCAGCAACATAGTGAACTGCGGAGAGAGCTCACTTTTCCGAGCAATGTCCTTGGGAGTGTGAAGAAAAGCAATAAAGTCAGCTCGTTCTGAGCTGGAATCCCGGCTCCATGGCTTGCCAGCTATATAATCTGGGGCAGAGCCCAGGACTTCTGTGCCTCAGTTTTCTCAGCTATAAAATAGGATGAAGACTTATACTCGTCCCAGGACCAGCAGTTAGCATAATGGCTATGTCACTGGACTCCCACGTAGTCGACTGCAGTTCGCGTCCTGGACCCGGTGGCTTAAAACTCACGCCGGGCGCGTGTGCGTGCGTGCCCAAGATCACGAGAGGAGAATGGAGGAGAAGGGATTGCGGCATGACCATCCCCCCGGGGGGTGATTTCTCGCTTTCTGTCTCTCTGTCTCGGTGTGTCTGGCGAGCGCACATGCCCTATAGCAAAAAACCTCTCCAAAGAAAAAGAAAAATAATTATACTAGCCTCGTAGAGTCATGGCGAGGATACAAGGAGGGAATATATGGGCCGCCAGGTGGTATGGTGGTTAAGGGTGCTGGACTCCCACATGGCTGACCATGGTTTGAGTCCCAGACCTGGTGGCTTGCTCTCTCACTTTCTCTCTCTCTCCCCCTCTCTCTTCCTCTCTGGTCAAATTAAAATAAACAAATAAATGGGACCAGCAGTTAGTGTAATGGCTATGGGACTCCCGCGTAGTCGACTGCGGTTCGCGTCCCGGACCCGGTGACTTAAAACTCATGCCGGGCGTGTGTGCGTGCATGCCCAAGATCCCGAGAGGCGAATGGAGGAGAAGGGATTGCGGCGTGACCATCGCCCCGGAGGGTGATTTCCTGCTTTCTGTCTCTCTGTCTCTCTCTGTCTGTCTGGCGATCGCACGTGCCCTATAGCAAAAAGCTCTCCAAAAAAAAAAAAATTAAAAGGAGGGAATACAACTTTCAGCCCAAGGTCCAGCATGCAGTAAAGGCTCACAAAATGAATGCTAAGGAGTCAGGACAGTACCTCGGACCATACAGTTAACCCTCAGTACCTTCAGGAAACAGATTGCAGGACACTGTGAAACTGAGATCTGCAGATGCTCCAGTCCCTTATATAAATGGCACAGTATTTGCATGTAACCTACGCACATCCTCCTGTTACTGGCAACCTTGGGCCAGCTGCCACTTCTCACAGCCACTGAGAAGAGAGACAGAGACTGGAGAAGGGAGTTTATGTCTGCAGCTGAGTTCTAGGGAGACAACAAGCACCACCGAACTGTCTCCACAGCTCAACATGTCTTCGGTGTTTATGGACACAAGATACGAACCCGTGCAAGTCATTCTCACGACGACCAAGTCCACCGCTTTCCCCTGAGTAAATATCTGATTCCTGCTTTTACTTCAAAGACCACTCCTGGTTTCTCATCCGACCACTCCTCAAACACGTCTCCCTCTGGCTCAGCACTTGGTCAGATTAAGGGGGACCCCCTGCGCCCCATAAATCTCTGAGTTCTAGTGAAAATTTCCTAGTACGGTGCAGTGCTCAGTCTCCATAGAGTTATAGATTGAAAAATCTTAGGCACTACCATCCCAAGCCAGCCCAGGGTTACAGAGTAGAATAATCTAGAATAATCAAGAGGCTGGGATTCCCAGGTGTCTCAGGTGGATGTGGTTTCACTTTGATGTGATGAAGCCGGGACATGATTCCCCTCTGACAGTAGTACTCAGAGCTTACCATTCAGAAGGTCTCAGGCAAGGACTGCACCAATTTTCGTGCAAAAACCACAGCAATTTTCAGGCAAAAACTGTGATAGGCAGTTAGCTAGAAATGAGCAGGCAGTCCTAAGAAAATACCAGAAAGACAGCAGCACTCAAACACAGTTTATCAGGAGTTACAACAGACCCTCTGCAAGAATGGCCTCCTCCCACCCAGCTCCTGGCACCGGGAAGGCGAGGCAGATCTCGTTTTCCTTCTTTAGTACCTGAGACAGGGAGGGTTGTTCATTTCTTTTATCATTCCTCATAAATACGAAGGGACTCAACAAGACATTTTGGTCAACCTCCTGATTCCCACTGGCAATAAACTGATTGGGCAGTTCATCCGAATAAGGATGCTCAGACCTTCTAAGTCCACACTGAGCATGTGCAACTAGGTCATTGAATTCTTCACCTCTGAGAGATACACAAATGCAGGGGAAAGCCTGTGAACTCAAACAAAGGAGCCGGATATTCTGACAGACCGCCCCCTGCTAAATATTTATTCTCAACTCTTGGAATAAATGTAACACCTAACCCTATGCCCGGTGCAACTGTCCACTGGCAGCTGCCTGCCTGCATGCCTTTCAGACATGTAGGTTTACTTCTTTCGTAAAAAAATTTCCTAAAAATCTTCACCTCTGGGACAGCAGATGGCATAGTGGTTACATCACTGGACTCCCACATGGCCAACCACAGTTCGAGTACCAGACCTGGCAGCTTGAAACTCACGCCAGGCTCATGCGCATGTGTGCCCAAAATCCTGAGAAGAGAATGGAGGAGAAGGGATTGTGGCATGGCCATCCTCCCGGGGGATGATTTCTCACTTTCTGTCTCTCTGTCTCTCCAGCGAGCACACACATCCTATAGCAAAAATTCAAAAAAAAAAAAAATCTTTACTTTCCTATTAAAACTTCCCTTTTCCAACTTTACACACATTTATGGTTTTTCATTTTGCATCTTAGGATGGGTCTCTCATCTTAGAGATTTGGACCCAAAGAACTAAGGATTTACACAATGCAGCTCAACCCTCTCCCATCCTTTGATGAAACTACTCAGAGAATAGCTCAGAGGAGCAGAACTTCCAAACACGCTTACCAAAGTGTTATCACTGACAGAGTTTTCTAAACAACAGTCCTTGTTAACAGGCGCGCTCGTGTGTGCAAAACCTCCACAGCTTTCCTGACTGATTTAGTCAGGGCTCATACAAACAACTCTATTCTGACTGAAATGTTCACATTCCCTCCCCCCTTTTTTTTTGGAGAGGTTTTTGCTATAGGGCGCATGCGCTCACCAGACAGACAGAGAGAGACAGAGAGACAGAAAGCGAGAAATCACCCCCCAGGGGGGATGGCCATGCCTCAATCCCTTCTCCTCCAATCTCCTCTCGGGATCTTGGGCACACATGCACACACACCTGGCGTGAGTTTAAGCCGCTGGGTCTGGGACTTGAACTGCAGCCGACTACATGGGAGTCCAGCGACATAGCCATGATGCCAACTGCTGGTCCCTTCCCCTCTTGACCAAGAACTCTGTCTGTAAGAGTCATTGATCACTTACGTTATGATCTTGCAGTAATTGTCCCTTGGTGCTGGGATGGACCTGCCCTGGTTGTTGGTCAAGTTGTCCCACACCAGAGGGGAGTGACCAGAGACTCAATCAATCAATCAATCAGTAACAGAAACAAAAGCCCGAAGTGGAAAATGTTATCATTCATATTAATCAGAGTACGTTCACTTTACTTAACAATGACTCAAACATCCCATGAATATCCATTAGTCCATTTCTCATAACATGACGGTAAGGTCTACAAGTCATCTAAAAATGATTATTTATAAGCATCCCATTTCCAATCACTTCATTTTAAAAACCACATGCCTCAGCTGTGTAAACCGAGATGCCAGAAGGAAACCAGTTCAAAGCATCCCCACACACACACACAGGATCACGCGCGCGAACACACATACACACACACACACACACACACACACGATCACACAAGACGTTCATAGCACATTGATTTTTCAAAAACCTCTTTAACCTTTTTCCTTTTGTTCCAAATGAGTTTCTGAGTTAAATCTGAGATGTTTACCGTTGAGTCAGAACTGGCTGAACCTGAGAAAACAAATTCTCCAAGAGACTGAATCCTCCTCTCTTATCCTAAAACCCTAAGAGGGAAAAAGGGAAAAAGCAACAGATTCGAAGTACACAGAGGAAAGAGGAAACACACACACACACACACACACACACACACACACACACGAAATACGCAGAGAACTAAGGTTTGAAATCCACCAGAAAGGATACGAATTTCTCTGAGGCTCACCCTAGAACAGGAGCAGGGGCCAGAACCTCCAAAGATGACCCCTGTCCCTGTGAAGGTTTATGTACTCAGCGCTTGCGTAACCTCGTGCCAAGGGCAGCTCCTGTTTTTAGAACTTTGCAGGTAGGACGGAATCCACACATTCACCCCATGCAAGCTCTCTACAGCTGGGGATGCTGAGGCACAAAGAGGCCAGGGGACGTGCTTGAGGACACACGCCTAGGTGTCAAGCTCTGACATTGGGGTTCTAGGGCAGGCGCCTTGAATCCAGAGCTGCTAGCGGAGCTGCGGGGGCAGGGCAGAGAAGCGGCGGAACTTGAATTTGGCTTTCCCAGCCCTGGATTTGCAGGGGCGGAGCAGAGGGCCTGAGCTTGAGTTTTGGTTTCCCTGCTGCGGTGGGGCGGGACAGAGGCTGGTGAACTTAAGTTTCACTTCCCAGCTCTGCGTGGCCGGCCAAGGAAGCTCTCAGCTTCTCACTCTGCCGTTAGCTACAGTGCAGCAAGCAGCTGGGAGCAATGGGGAACCTGGTGTCCGATTTGTTCTCAGGGCAGCCTGATCTGCGCTCGGTGCCGGCTCAGCAGCTGAGCGACTTTGTCAGAAATTCCCTGGAGCCCTCTGAAGAGTGTCAGAAGGCAATCAAGTGGACCGTGGACGCCATCTGTTGCATCCTGAAAAGAGACCAGCAGCAGCCCCTGATCCAGGATGTAGCCAGAGTGAGTCTAGGGATGGGGCTAGGGATGTGGGAACCAGGGAGGCCGGGAGTCTGGTGCTGGGCCCCTCGGATGCGACTTCCCCACCCTGGATGAGATGACGGGATCGGGCATAGAGGGACAGGCACTCCCTTGACTTGTACCACTCTGGACAGGAGGCATAACACCCATGTTAGAAGGGCCCAAGGCTTACATGGATCATGTTCTTAGCCCAAGGCCTGGAAGTACCCAGTACCTTAGCTGTGGTTGTTTGCAGTAGTGTCTGTTCTTCCTCAGAAGGAAACTGAGGCTAGAGGACATTGCTGAAACTACTCAATGTGGCTCTGTGGTTTCTCGAGAGAGTTTGGCGCTGGACCAGACAGCGGTGTGTGGTGGTGAAGGCAGCTGGATCCCACATGGCCAGCTTTGAGGGCTGAGTTCCTGAGACCTGGCAGCTTGGAAAACACACTGGGTACATGGTCACACGTGCCCAAAATCCTGACAGGAGGGAGACATGGAGAAGAGAGCACAGCATGACCATGCCTCATCTGAGTTTCTCTCTTTACCTT